TCTGTGTTCGAGAATTTGATGTTTTTAAACATTAATTGAAACACTTAAAAGTGTTTCAGTTTACAGAACAGAAAAAGGCAAAGAACGGCGGTGCCGTGTTGCTGAAAGCCAACTCAGCTAATTTGACTGATAGTGGAAAAAATTTTGTGAATAGTAGTCTGTCTGTGTGTTTACTAAGCGAAAAGGTCGAAAATTCTATAGGCCCTTTTAGGGTATTTACATTGGTTAATTTACATATAGTGAAAGCATAGTAAATGTATCGGCAAAATTACACCAAGCTTCAGAAAATTGTTTGAGATTTTAATTTGTTTTGACACCTCACTATCCGCTTTGATCCAACAACAAGAAAATGCCGGAAATTTCTTTTGTCAAGATATGACTAAATTTTTAAATCAAAAAACAGTGCAGTGGATCTGGCTGCAATCCTAAAATGGCTCTCAAAACAAGTCCATCAAAACGGCAGTTTTTTTTGTTTTTTGTTTTTTTTTTTTTGGGGGGGGGGGTTCTCGTCTTTACCCTTAGCCCTTAGCTTATTTTTCGTCAAAAGCCATGATGGGACATTATGGCACTTGTTTTCGCTTATTTCTGCCCTCTTACTTCATTCCAAAGCTGCTTTGAAACTGAAAAAATGACTCTATAAGGTAGTAGTCATTGCTTCAACAAATGTGTGAGAATTTTTTGGGTAATTTTTCGAAAGTTTTTAAAGAGTAAAAATTTGGGGGATGTTAAAAGGTCTTAAAACCTTGGGAAACTGAAAAATTTGGGGTTTGGGAGTGGTCAAAATTTTAAATATAAACGGGGATGATAAGGAGACAAATACCACCGAGTGCAACACCAAAACCGCTGAGCTCATTAGCTTACTAACTGATGTATGCGTAAATCTTTTCTACCCTATTTTAATTTTTTCTTCTCAAGTCAAAATCATTTCTCCTCTCTTATAAGGGAGTGCCCCCTCCCAGGCGTTGACGTCCCCCAGGGGCATACCTTTACCGAAAAATTGTGCAATGTATCCCCAGGAAAAATAGAAAGCATCAAAGGACCAAGTACGGGTTATAGGGGAGAAAGAGAGAGAAAGCGTACGGGTAACTTAATCATAGGGAAACATGAGGAAATCAGGTTAGAGAAAATATTCCTTTGCTTTGTGATCTTTAAAGTCACATGCTGCTCGGTTTAAACAAACCAATCAGACCCTGGTTTTTCAAATTTTGAACAGCGCTGTACAACGGATAAATCTCTATCCAGTGGATAAGCATGAGGCAAATGCAATCCTGTGGATAGCGTTATCAATCTTAGTTTTGAACAGCTGGGGCCAGGCTTGGTTTCCTCACGTTTTCCTACTAGAGGAGTGCTAGTCATAAGAATTTGTCCTCTTTCCTTGCTTTCTAATAGTAACTTGAAACTTGTGCTTTATTTTACTCTTAGATTAAGTACGAGGTATTGACAGGAGTAGTGACCAAAATCAGTTTAGGAAACACTCACCCGTAAGCGGAGCGTAACTGTTAATATGGAGCGACAGAACAGTACCGGCAGTACAAACTCAACTTCAGAAGCTTTCGCTAAAATGAAACTTCCAGAACTCACCATCATTACAGTGTTGTACTGCTTATTGATAATAACTATCATAACCGGAAACGGACTTGTACTCACTTCTTTTTGGGTTAACCGGAAGTTAAGGACTGTCACTAATACGTTGATCATTAATCTATCCGTGAGTGATACTCTGGTGGGATTGGTGTCTATTCCTTGCTGGATGTACATCTTTCTGAGCCTCTCTATAGAGCGTCCTTACACTAAAGCAGGTTACCAGTTCTATATCACCATTGATATCTTCATTGGGAGCGCGTGTATTCTGCAGCTTACGTCCATAAGTATTGAGAGATGCTACGCGATTGTCAGGCCGTTACGTCACAGAACGTTGGCAAGGCGAGTTTTCTATACCATGATCGCGATTCCGTGGACTTACGCCACCATGATAGCGAGTTTACAACCAGTTCAATTTCAACGCTGGACGGAAGTTTACACGATTCTTATGACGACTACGTGTTTTTTCATACCTTTCGTTATCATCCTGGTGGCTTACATCACTATATACGTGTACGCTCGCTCGGGGCCCATGCGCAAACTTAAACACCACCGAGTCCACAAGAAAGCGTACAAAAACGAGATAAGATTATCAGCGACGGTGGCAATGATCACTGGGTTGTTTGTTATCGCCTGGTTACCACTCTTTGTGGTCAGCGTCATGGCAACATACTACCCGCAGGACCTCCCCTCCCCCCTGTGGACGGATCGTCTGCTCAAGTTTGTCAAGTTTTGTCACTATAGCCACAGCGCTATTAACCCCTTCGTGTATGCCTATAGAAATAAGGAGATGATTAAAACGTTTCGTTACATTGGCTACAAGATAATATGTAAGGAATACAGTCTACAACAACCAGTATCCACCGCCATGTCCTTGGTCAGGTCATATCACAGAAGCACCTTTCAATCCTCGAGCGGAAAAGAACAGCCTTCGCCGGAAAATAACAACCAGGCATCTGATCAAACAGCACTTGTCCGGACATCAACTGTATGAATTTTACAGGGTTGAAACTTAATGGTGCAGGGCTACTCTTAAGAGGAACAATATCGCGGCGTTTTATGAAAATGTAAAATTACAAGATTCTGACCTAACTAAGTATATTCAAGAACTGCTTCATGAAATCTAGTGGCGTCACAATAACCCTTCTTCTAGGGGATGTCAGCGGCCCGAGGTACTTTTGCGAACAGCGCTGTTGTAACCCCAATTGCCTTTGAAAATGGAATAAGAAACTTCTCTTACACTGAAAAAAACTTCTTTACTTCAACTAATTCATCTTGTCAAATTAGTTTGTTTGTGTGTTTGCTTTTTATTTGCAATAGAAAGTATGAAAGAATCGCAAAACATTGCAGAAGCTGTAACGGTTCTTCTCTAAAAAACATTCTGTTTCATATTGCAGAGGCTATTTCAATGTATGCGTAATATGTTTGTGTTTGCATTTTGATTAAATGATAAATAAGTTCATGGTGATTTCAGATGAACTGTGGTGTTGCGCATGTGTCACTTCTTAACCAATCAGTGGTCAATTAAAATTAGCAGTAACGTTTATGAAATCATTTCCCGCAATCTCGTTGCCAGGGTCCGCGCGCGATCCCATTCTTATAAAGCGCATGACAGAGGGGATCCCGGGGGAAGATGTTAATCATTCCCTCTCAAATCCTCGGCAGCTATTTGTTTCGATTTCTCATCTGATTGGCTCCTTGTTCCGTCTACGTTACGGGTTATACGTTAGGGCAGTTGCCTTATTTTCGGTTGTAAGTTAAAGTTTTTTCGCGTGTTTTCAAAAAAAAGACACCCCAGAAAGCGTCACTTTACTTTTTTCACCAAAAAAGCTAATACGGTTATTTATACTGAAGAAGGTTAAGCCCTCTCCCAATAGCAAAATGATAAAACTTCACACATCTGATAACTTGTTCCTGCCACTACGACATTCTTGCGCTAAAACTCTTTGTAGAATGACGACGGCTATCACGTTTTTACCCCAAAATCACGCTGATTCACGCGTGAGCAATACTCAGTATCGAGAAAATCTCGTATTCGTAGTCGTCACAAAATCTGAATCTCTCGATTATCTAGTTTTATATGTTGACGTTTACTGTCGGCAACATCTGAATACAGGTTTCCATGATTGTAATCTGCGGCGGTCTGCGACACGATCGAAAACTGTGTTTGTAGGACGATCATTGAGGCCATCCCAGGTAGTCCAATGTTGTTCACATTTATTTTAGCGATCGGAAACATGCAACGTTCGTTTAACACGATTTTGGCATTATTCGCGCCAAACAAATGTCTGCGACGCGATGTAGACTGATCGGCTATCGTGGTTTACACAATATCGCCGAACTGGAGTTAAAAGGTATTTTTTGCCTGTTACAGGTTTTATTTGTAGAAGTGTGAACGATGAACGAAATGATATTAATGAAAAAGGAACTACTATAGTTACGTTTTAAAAGCTTTAAGATGCTTCGAGCTCGAGCAAAAGCGGTTTAAATGAAAAACGTCAAATGGCGCCGACATTTTCCGTTCAAACACTTTTGTCAAAAAATATGGTAAATCAGCAGTATATTGGTAAAGAGTAAAATTTTATAGTCGGAGAAATTAATGGTAACCCTAGTTTTTAATTTTTTTTCTGAGTTTGCAAATTTCTCTCGTTTGACTGGAGCTAAAAAGGAAACAACGAGTCTGTAAACGTGTGGACAAAATAGCTCAAAATACAATGGTTTTTCAATGATCATTAGTAATGGCGGATATGGCGTTAATGAAAGTTTGATTGAATAGATTCTCATAGGTCGATTGGCTGATAAAAGAATAAAAGAAATCTAGTACTGAATGGCTTAACTGACCTTAATTTCATGCGTAATTTTTCTGAATGTATTCTCTGCTCTTCCTTTGATTCTAAATTATAATGTCCCTACCACAAGAAAAACCTATTCATAGAATGAGTCGACCATCTTTAAAATCGCGTTTTGTGATAATTTGCTTCTGCACATATAGCTGCCCCGTCTGTTTGCAGGTTACACTTAATGCAACGAATATTTTCTGTTAAGTTTCGGCAGAAAGATGTTTATTCCCTATAACATTACGTTTCGTACTGAAAATTAAAAGGCACTTGCATTGCGTGCGAGCAAAAGGGAAAACCATGCATTCAACGACTGGCGTTAGTATTGATTACTGATGTCTTCCTTAACGACGTCCGGGTTGAAATAAAAAGAAATTGTTCCAATCATTTAGGCTTTTCTTCACCCGCTCGATTCTAAAGATAATTTCCACAACGCAGTAAATAAACTGAGCCAAAAATTAAAAAATATTTACCTTGCAGTTTTATCAAAAGTCGCGCAAGACTCAGTTGAACGTTGTACGAGGCTAAAGCCTGCCAAACGCCGCGATAAATAAACCGCAAGTTAAGACTTTTCAGCAGTAGTTAACAAAGGTTCAGTGTTTTAGCCAAATGAACTGTAATGTTTTTTTCTGTTGCGTTTGAGGATTTCCTTGCATAATTTAAAAGTGGCAATTGCGAAACAAAGCGAGCGACATAAGTTGCCGAATCAAAGAAGATTATCATACATAAAACATTGGTAAAGTTCACTCAATGTAAGCATTCCCCATGGTGATGCAAAAAAAGCCATTAAATCTCAGAGGCAGTTTTTACTGGCTTGTTAAATTTTTAGACAATTCTACTTGACGCTTAAGATTGTTCATTTCCTAAGTAAAATCTACTTGGTGTCTTGCAATGAGTGATCTAATGCACATCAATTTATATAATGTTTGGCGATACGAGGGTACTTATCAGCTGTTGTTATGAAAATCACAACAGCGATGTTTACTTTACTTGAATCTCATTAGTTTTGAATCCTTTTGAGGAAAAATATTCAAATGGACTTCAAAACGATAAAGCGTCACAATCAACTGGAGCCGGCGGGGCTGTCACGGTCAACAATATATTCCAAACTAAGGTAAGTAGGTATGTTGAAAGCCTGGTGCAAAATGCAATTTTTCGAAACCATTCACTACAAGAAAAGGCAAACTAAGTTAAACTACTAATACTGAGAGTAGATTTGTTTGAATTTGAAATATAAAGCAAGCGAGGTATTCCGATTCCGCCCTTTACAAAAAGCAAAAAAGAACAAGCTGTTAATAAAGCCTTCTCTCAGGGGGATTATTGGAAACTGTCACGGTTTGCGATTTTTGGCAAGCAAGTTAAAAGTACTTGTTATATTCCTAGACTTTCACTCAACTAAACAGGGACTACCATTGGTTGATTCTTGGTCACGTGGCCTTGACTAAAATCAAATGTATCCCGATCGTGATACATTAAACAATGTATCCCGCTCGGGATACATTGCAGCACGTGATCAAAGCATGGTGGAAAGTGGTGTGACAGAAGGCGGGAAAAACACCGCCAGGTCTAGCCCGAGTTTTCTTTTTCGTGAATGAACACAACAACACAAAAACGAAGCCTCAAGCTAAAAAGCAACGATTTTTAAAGTTATCCCAGAAGTTCCCAGAAGAAAAACAGCAGCTAGTGGAGGAAAAAGATGCAGATAATATGAGGAAAGTACTTTTGTTTGTAAATCATTCATTCAGTGGTTTTGAGAATTAAATTTGTGTTGTTATAAGTACCGAGTCGACTGTTTTGGTTCGCTCCGGTTATTCTTTTGTTGCTGTTGAAGTG